TGTATCTTAAAAATGGCACATAATGTGCTCTATATGTGATGCCTTAAACTGGTGAGAAATTCACTATAATTTAGCCAAGTTGGTTCATAAATGCAGCTTTACAATTTGCTACATAACTATAGTTAGAAATTAAATTGGACTAAATTTGCCCTTAATGTATGTGTTTAAGTCCGAATATGTTCTAATTAGTCTTCTAATTATGCTAAGTTTGGTTTGTATGAAAATAGAGGCATATGTGGCGCAACTAGATAACCATAAGGGCAGGGGTGTTAAATGGGCAGGTTGAGCCAATTTTAAGCGGGTCAAAATGGATTGAATCAATAAATGGACGGGTCAATAATCCACCCAAAAGATATTTGTTAAAATAGTACGGTCTAGCCAGTTTTCGGACTGGTCATTCAAAAATAGTCAGTGTTTGCCAAGTCACTGAAAAATAGCCACTATTTTGCTGCAACAGACCGATCCAGCATAATATACTGGAGTTCGGTGCACCTGTGTATAAACTTCCAACATATTTATTGGAATTCCAGTATATTATGCTGGAGTATTTTTCCGAATTTTGAACAGTGTTTTCGTTAGATTTATCTTTACATAAAAAGTTGCTAAATTTCAATTACTTTTGAAATTGTGGCTATTTTTGAATGGCCACTTGTAAATCTGGCTATTTTTTAATTTCTCCCAAGTTATTTGGGATGAGATGGGCTAAGTCAAGATGAGCTAAAATTTGGGTCATAGCACAATCCGCCCAACTCTTACCAAGCTTTAATTAATCTATGTGTTGTTTTCTTGTGAATTGTATAATTACTAAATACTAAGACTTTATTTCTTTTGTTATGGTCATATAAAACATATCAAACCAAAAATAAAGTTTTATAAGATACTTTTACTCATGGATCAATTTGGCTAAAAATTAGCCCAACTTTAAATGAATTGAAATGAGTTGGGTCAAGATGGACTGAGTTCAATAAATAGACGGGTCAATAACTGCCCAACCTTGGGCAGGTTATGAGTTATTTGGATTTGGGCCAATTTTGATAGCCATAGGGGCACGAGTGAGCCAAACTATTAGCGGTGGGCAAATGTTGTCAATTTCGCATACTTTAGGGGTAGTTTTGACTCTTCTCCTTAAAAAAATGGGTAAAGAAAGGAATTATTTGTGAATATATGTACGATCCGACCGGTCGTTTTGGGCCTTAGTGCGTCGTTCGGCAGTTTGAGGCCCTGAGTAGCTTCACTTCATGTGTTACGACTTGTACGTATGGTTGGATTTGGATTTTGGGAAGTTCGGAGTTGATTTGGAAGGAAAATTCTAATTTCAGAAGCTTTAAGTTGGAAGGAGTGACTAAGGTTTAACTTTTGAGTAACGATCTTAGAATCGGGATATGAGGGTTCCAATAGGTTCGTATGATGATTTCGGACTTGGGCGTATGTTCGGGTTGAGTACCGTGTCGCCTAGGAGCATTTCAACACTTATTGTGGAAAGTTGGCATTTTGAAGGTCTTAGAATTTCTTAAATTTGGTTTGAGGTGGACTCTGGTGTTATCGATGTCCGTTTGGGGTTCCAAGCCTTGGAATAAGTTCGTATCGTTATTTGTGATTGGTGGGTAGAGTTGTGTCATTCCGGGATATTTTGATATGATTCGGACGATCGTCGAAGTTTGGAAGTTTGAAAGTATAAAGAATGATTTTGATCATCGATTCGTAGTTTGGATATTATTTGGTGTGATTTGAGGCCTCGAGCAAGTTCGTATCATACTTTGGGACGTGTTGGTATATCTAGTTAAGGCCCCAAGTGGCTCGGGTGAGTTTCGGACGGGGTTCGGATCATTTAGAGCCTTGTTGAAGCTGCTGGAATTTCTGTTGCCGGTGTAGTAGCTTTTGCGAAGCCTTGGTCGCATAAGCGACTTCGCAGAAGCGAGATGAAGGTCACAGAAGCGACTGGGGAATGGCAAGGCAGTGGTCGCAGCTGCGAAGCAATTCTCGCACCTGCGTGGTCGCAGATGCGGTCTGTGGCAACGCAAAAGAGGTAGGAAGCGCAGAAGCGCAATGGTGGCTCGCACCTACGTTTGCGTAGAAGCGGACATTCTACCGCATGTGCGATAGAGTAGTTGGGCAGTGCAATTCACAGAAGCGAGCTTTGTCTCGCAAAAGCGAGCTCGCAGTTGCGATTAACTCGTTCGCATATGCGAAAATCGCTAAGTAATGGGATGCTTTTAATCCGAGACTTAGCCCATTTCTCTCACATTTTCTTTTGGTTGGGTGGTTTTTGGAGCTCTTGGAAGGGAAATTTTCATCAGTTATGTCAAGGTAAGTAATTCTCGCATATTGTGAGTTAAATACATGATTTATATGTGGAATTAAATAGGAAATTAGTAGAAATTTGGGATTTTGGTGAAAAACCTAAAATTTGTAATCTTGGAATTTGACTACAAAATTGGACATGAAATTGGGATAAATCGTATTTGAGTTCGTGGGGTCATGAGTAAAGTTTATCTTCGAAATTTTTTGGAATCTAGGCACGTGCGCCCGAGGTTGACTGTGTTGACTTTTTGAGTAGAGGTGGGAAGTGTTATAAATTAATTAATTAATTAATTATGAGGTGGGAGTATATTTTTATTGGTTTTCATGATTGTTTGACTAGTTTCAGATTATTGGGCCTTTGGTTGAGGTGCTAGAGAGGTGTTGGAGTCGGTTATGAAACTTTGGAGTGAGTAAGTCTCGTGTCTAATAAGGGGGAAACTACCCCTAGGTGATGTATTTGATATATGCTACTTGTTGCGGGGGCTACGTACGCACGAGGTGACGAGAGTCTGTACGTAGTTAGATTCATGTTATGTCCGGGTAGAGTTAGGTTCCCACCATGCTATAACTGTACTATTTGAGTTGTCCCTTGCCTATTAATTTCCTTTATTTTACGTTACGACTTGGGACTAGGCTTGCGTAGAGTGATAGACTTGCTATTGTAGAGATTTGACGAGCTACATGATTAGCCGTAGAATAATTATGCTCCTATTATAGATTTCTCCCGCGCTAATGCGTTTTCATCGAAAGGTTTTCCTTAAAGATTCGTAACTCACACGTTTATTCGTGAGTGGGTCAAGGACCCGTTAAAGCTTCTAATTGTAATGGGATCGAGTCGTTCACCTCGGTAGAATTATGTACCACACTCTTATGGGAGCGGGCCTTTCGCCTCGGCAGTATGATATATGTCTATGATTCGTGATGTTCGACCCTCGGCAATGCACATATTATGATGGGAGTCGGGTCGTTCGCCGCGACATTTCTATAAAAAAACTCTTGTGGATCGAACTGTTCGCCTCGGCAACATCGTGTGTAATATATGGAAAGAAACCAGCACATCCGAGTTCTTTTTCCTGATTTGAGTTGTGATGACCTATCTGGTGAGGTCCATCTTATATATACTCTGGTTGAGGAGCTAACTGCTTGATGAAAGCTTGAGTTTACCGTTTAGAAGAGGATTGTACCTCGTATTTATATTTGTTCATACCGTTTATCTGCTCTGCCCCCATATTGTTTATTTCTTACTGTCTGTCTTATTGAACCACTAGTAAGTGTCGATATCGACCCCTTATCGCTACTTCTCTGGGGTTAGGCTAGATACTTACTGGGTACGCGTTGATTTACGTACTCATGCTATACTTGTTGCACTTATTGTGCAAGTATATATATGTTTCTGGCGGTCCTCTGGGCGTAGAGACGCGGCTATTGCGGGGACTTTACGATGAGTTGCATTCCATATTACGATCCGCAGCATAAAGAGTCTCCATCACAGTTATTCATATTGTCATGTCTAACTTGTATTCCATACGAGTGTCGTATTATTATTGTACTCCTTAGTAGATGATCATGCACTTGTGACACCGGATTTTGGGGGTTCCTACTGGTTGTTCATTATTGTAGTTCACGTAATTATTATCATTTCACCTTGAAATGTATTTTATACAGGAATTGTAAAATAAAATCACGGGTTCTCTACGAGTACCAAGTTTTATACTATTTAATTAATGAGAATTATGATTTCAAAGTAATAAAAATGAGTAATTAAGCTGATCATTCACCGTTGGCTTGCCTGACGGCGGCGTTAGGCGCCATCACGACCTATAGTGGATTTTGAGTCGTGACAATATAGTTAAAAATTTAAGTTACGAGTGTAAAGATATTTTTACCCAAAAAGAGAGTACATGAACGAAGGGATATGCAACCTTACCCCCCAGAGTCTTATTTAAGTCTCGTTTGGTCATATATTTTGGCTTTATTGTTTCAATTTAAAAAAAGTATTATTTGTTTATGAAATATGATCACGTTTTGGGGGAAAAAATTCAAGTTTTTGAGTGAAATATTTTCTTCCACTCACAAACTTCAACTTTTCTTCAAATAAAATGCATGTTCAAACATAATTTTAACTTTCAAAAATTGTTTTTTCAACACAATTAAAAAACTCTTTTTTTAAGTTTCAATCAAATATTTGTCTAAACGCTAGCCGAGTGTTGGAGAGACCAAGGCATACATGTTACACTTATATACATTTGATCCTTGTGCTAAACTAACTATGACGTTCAAAATAAGAAAGGAGGATATAGGAAAGGAGCACTCCTCATTTGTACAATGAAATATACTCCTACAAAGTAAATTAAAGTTAGTAAATGCAAGAGAGTACTACTCTCTTTTACCAAAAAAAAAAAAAAAAAAAAAAAAAAAAAAAAAAAAAAAAAAAAAAACAGAAAACCAATGTACAAAATTAGCATCAAGAAGGATGTCCATAAGAATTGGTAGCATTAGCAAAAAGCCTGTGCATAAGCCTGAAAAGCCACATTCAATGTATTCACTAGCAAAAAGTTTTGTTTAGGAATTCCAGATTAAGCTAAGATTAGATAAAATGAAGAAATGGTTCAGTAATTTGAACTTAAGCAAGTTACTTTGCTGAAAGTTACATCAGTTTCAAAATCAAAATACAAGTTATACTAATTCTCATACCAATGCCAGTTCCCTAAAAATAACACTATGACACTTATGTTTTACTGTCGCTCGAGAACTCTATACTCACTGCTGATGATAGCCGAAACAGGAGCAGCTTTTTAGTTATTTCCAATGCTTCTGCAACTTCAAGTTGTGGGTGCTGCAGGATGCTCATTGTCGCAAGTGAGGGCGAGCTAAAGAGAATGAATCGAATAAACTCAAACTCAGGATCGAAAGCTGAGATATTCGTTAACTTGACCAGATGAAGTTTGCTAAGGGGAAAAGTTGAGCAGTCCAGGAGTTTTAGATAACCTGAGACCTGCTCTTGGTTTAGCTTGACCGTAGAAGCCTACACAAAAATAGAAAATAAAATCAAATACAGTCATACGTCTCTATAACAATATCCCTATATAACAACCATTCACTGCAAAAGCCAAGTTTTTCTCGAAATTAATTTTTTATGTTATGTTATAATATATGTCTTCTATAATATCATTCACTATAACATCCAAGAAATATCGAAACAAATGCAACTGTTATAGAAAGGTTGACTTTAAGTGTTTATTCGTTTCCAAAACAAATTACCATAAATTAGATGGAGTGTTACTACTTACCTCAATATAAAGTTCTTGCAAATTCGGAGCACTTCTAATCAAGCAAACAACAGCAGATATCTCATCAAAGTTCATAAAATTTACACCTTTGAATTCAAGAATCTTTAGAGAGTCTGGCGATGTCGATAGCTTAGGGGGAACTGGTGTTTGAGCTAGGAGCTGGAAAAAATGATTGTGAATCACATCTTAATCAGATTAAATAAAAAAATAATTCTTGGAACCCTTATAGTCAGTGGTGAAGCCAAAAATTTCAAGGGTATTCAAATTTGAAAGAAAAGAAAAAGAATTTCCGATAAAAGGTGTTCAAACATAAATTATATATCTCTAAAACCTAATATTTAACCTATATACACAATGTAATTTTTCGACAAAGGGTGATCAGTTGATAGGCTGTAGCTTCGCCCCTGCCTATAGTGTCAGTTGTGAAGGTAAAGAAAAACTTGAATTTAGTAATAGGAAAATAGAGACATGTATAAGTAACTTCAATAGCAGTACAAACCTGCAGAAACTTTCCATTTAGACAAAGTAGTTCGACTCTAGGACAGCTATCCACAAACTTAACCAAATCAGAATTAGGATTGGCTTCCAAGCCTATTACAACTTTGTCCGAGTCTGTTACAATTCTGTCCAGCATTACAGAAACTTCAGTCAAGTTAGGAGCGTTTTCTAAGGAAATTGATTCAAACTTATCATAGGCCTTTATGCGCAACCTCTTGAGTTTACAACCACTGATATTAACATGACGAATACCGGGACACAAATGCAATTCTAGCCTCTGAAGAACGGGGCAACCGGAGAGAATACTTTCAAAACAGTTGTTCGCAAAGTAAATACCAATAAGCACTAATTGGTCAAGATATAGGAAGCCTTTACACTCTGGTGGCGGAGGCGAGACATCAAAATTACGGAGCTTCAAGTATGTCAAATCCAGACAAGAAAAGAAATAAGGAGGTAACTTATGACGTACAATATCCTTCTTGGGATATTCTAAGTTTAATTTCTTGATATTTTTCCGAGACAAGTACAGAATCCATTTGTTCACATTAGGACCCTTTGTGGAATTGAAACTAGGAATGCACGCTTTAAATGTCACTATTCGACCAGGATGAAGCATAAGAGACTTGGTAACAATTTCGTCAAATTGGTACTTGAGCTCGAGTTCATATTCAGATAATATACGCAATTTCTTCTGAGTGGCGGCATAGTCTTGAAGTTCTTTGCAGAACTGGTCATCAAAAACTAACTCCGGAATGGTTAAGTAGTAAAATCTCCACTTCTTTGAAAGAACACTCGTTCTTACCGCTTCACGTATAGGCATTTTCCCTAAAAATGCAATCTATTACGTTCCTTGGCAAGTTACTGATTATATCTTCATCAGCAATTGACTCCTGACTTGTTTCTGATTGATTTATTTTCCTACGTTTTGGAGGCATATCTTCCTATCAATAAGAATCAAATACGCCAATGTAATCAGCTCCACTTTTTCCCTATGAAAAAAATACAACAAAAAAATAACAGAAAATCCAATAAACAGCAATATCAACATAATAACTACGTATGCATTCTCTTGTCAGACTTAAACAACAAGAATAACAACGACACAGTGAAATCCCACAAATGGGGTCTGAGGAGGGTAGTGCGTACGCATGTCTTACCCCTGGCCCGAGGGATAGAGAGGCTCTTGTCAGACTTAAAAGCTCTTTTATTTTATGTCTCAAATAGGGAAAATAAATCAACATATAGAAAAGGGCAAAAAAAAGGCAGAGGGTATTGAATTCTTAAATTTCTAAGCATTATGTAACTCTCAAAATCAAAAGTTAGCAAAGCAAAAAGAAAATCAAAGTGCAGAACAGATATGAAAGAGAAATTAATGATAACAGAGAAAATTACAATTAGATTCCGTTAGAAAATAAAGAACTTGACTGAAGAAATAGGTAAAGAGAAACAGGGGAGCGGCAGCGCAGTGTTGTTGAGTATCTATACAGTAAATGCGGAGGAGACGTTTCTATCTAATATGGGCTTAATTTTTAAAATTGCTACTAGTAGCCGCGACTAAAAAAAACATAAATATAAACTGTGAGTATTAAATTATAATTGGGCTGCTGACTTTTTGGCGAATTTGGCTCAATCCATTCCCCTATTTAAACTAGAGCAAAAATCATTTGTAGCCACTCGGCGAAAATTAATGACAATGGATAGCTATAAGTTTACACCCTATAGAAAACCTTAGTACCCTATTTATTTTAAATAAATACCATTTTAAAATATTATATCCTATAAATACCTTTTATACTTTATAGCCAAATATCTAATTATAGATACATCCTACATTTAAGGCACCATATATGCTAAATAATATTTTTCTCTCTCCTTTTTAGTCTTTTCTCTCACATAATTACAGTAAAATTGACTAACCACGTTCTCTCTCTCTTTTTGCATACACTTTACTCTCTCCCTCAACCCACGATTCATACCTCTTCTCCCACCAAATTCTCTAGTTCTCCTCCATTATTACTCCATTATCTTGACCATCGCAGATCCACAGACTTCTCACCTTGTTTGATACAGATCACGATGGGAAGATCAACAAGGCCAATTTGATCGCCTGTTTAAGAAGATATCCTTTGTTGATTGCCCTTTTCTCACCTTGTTTATTGCAACAAACTTGGCCATAGCTGGTCTATAGTATGGAGAAGTGAACTAAGTATGGAGAAGTGAACTAAGTTGATGGACATAGTCACCATTAATGGTAGAGAATCCTTTTTTGGCCTTCTACCAGTGTTGTGAACTACTAATATATCTCAGATGTGTTAGGGGGCTGACCAGCCGGAATTAATGGCTGGCCGCCGGCCGGCGAAGCCATAAGGCTGTTTCTCTCTCTAGATCGCCCAAATCGCCTATTTGTATTCAGTTGTATTCGAATATATATTTCAGTTGTATTCACATGTATTCAGTAGCATTCATTTATATATTCACATCGTTCAAGAGTTTTATTCATTTGTATTTTGTTTTATTCAAGTGTTTTATTCAGATGAATTAAGTTGTATTTTGTTGTATTCAACTGTATACAATTCTACTCAACTATATTATTCATATGTATTTCTCTTTATTCAGCTATAATCTTTATTATGTATCTTTCAAATACAGATTAATGAGGGATCGTTTTAGTCCGTTGAGTTAAATTAGGAGAATATCATGTGATTTGATTTCCTTCCGTTTTTAACCAGTTTAACCTTCCAGATTTTGCGTAGATACGTTACTGTATTTAACGTTAATGTCGCTTGAATACAGCTAAATACATGTCAAACTTAGCTGAAATTTCAGTTTTTACGCCTATTTTTTTGGTTGTATTAATGAATACAACGGCTTAAATACATGAAATACATTGTATAAAAACATAAAAGGTATCTATAACACGTAATATAGCAAATGGTATCTATAAATGGTTAATTAGACCTAAAAGATGGTGCTTTATGAAAAATTCCTTAAGATAAAGCATACAATTCATAGCCCAAAACCAATTATAAGGGCTAGCAAGTGAAACGCAGAAAACCAGCGGAAAACTGTGGCTCCTCAATGCAACCATAATAGCTGCTAGCCCAATTTTTGATAGTCACTTAACCTTCTTTTACGTTTAATATTAGTACTCAAAAAAATTTAAATCCCGCCAAATAATCCCAAAAATCCTTCAAACCTAATGAAATCCCCGTCAAAATCCACCCTTTCAGCCTAGAAATTCCATTAAACCTAATCGTCTTCTCCATAACCACCAAACTTCATCATATTATACACAAATTACAATTTCCTTTTTTGTCTTTTACAAACAAAAAAAATTAGTGATCCGATCTAGAAAAATATAATATTGTATAAGAAAAAATACTCATGATATTAGAAGAAGAGGAAGAAGGTGATATATAGGTTTTGCATGTACTATACACATTATATTCAAGTATAAAGTGTATATACACCTTTTATATGTCGTTGAACAATATATATACTATTATACACTTTCTATACAAAATATATACAAAATTATATGAACATTGAATTTGTATAAAAATTGTATATGCATTATATCAGTGTAGATACACCTTTCATATAAATGTGCATACATAATATATACACATTATATGCAATATTTTTAACACTCACCATAGCCACCGTAACTTTTCACGTCCAATTTTGTATAATACATGTATCATTATTGTATAAGGTATACACACTGATTGTACACCATATTATACAATTATTATACATTGATTACACAGTGTATAAATAAAGGAACACTGACGATAATGGAGGACAAGGAGCTTGGCCGGAAAAAGTTTTCTCTAGCAACGACTATAATATTTTCTCCATTTCTCATCTTCTTGATATATTCATCCGAAAAATATCATGCAATACTATATCTGAAAGTGGACAAAAAGCGAATAAAGCGGCAACCATTGCTAGACTTTTGTTAGAAATTACTCAAAGAAGATAGATATTTTTGCATCTAAGTAAAAGAGGAGGAGATCACAAAGAAAAAAGAGAAAATTAAAAAAAGACGTGTGTTGGTGTTGAGTTCTAACTTGTTTAAGTTACTGGGTCTAAATTAATAAATTGTACATATTCGATAATTTTCTTAAAATAAATACATTTGGATAAAAATTAATGGGTTCGGCCAAAGGTCGTGTTCTACCTCTGCCCTCGCTGGTTGTGTCTATTACCTGTGACAAGAAAGAAATTTGCGATCTTCCCGACAGAAGCTGAGAAGTCCGGAGATGATCACAAGATTGATAGTACAGTACAGTACAGAATGTTTAGTGTAGAGGAGTAGATTGTCCATTGTTAACTAGAAAATTGAACAGCATAATTTTTATCCTCAGTTAAGTGTCTCTTACGTTGTAGTAGCGCAGAGTTCAGAGAAGGGCTGCAACCCAAGGAGTGTGATGTAGATAGTCTATCATATTGCAAGCATTAGTGATTACTTCTACGGCTCGAACCTATGACCTATAGATCATACGGATACAACTTTACCGTTGCTGTAAAGCTCTCATCACTTCCTTAATTTACAGTGCCTTAAAAATAACTTGCGTTTTATTTACTCGTCTTTGATGCTATTTACTGGTTATTACTATAATATTCATCTATTTTCTGGCTTTTATGATGCTGTTATTATTCTTTTGTGTTTGTTGATGGTACTGATATATTGTCTCTTTTTGTCTTCTTGAGCCGAAGGTCTTTCGGAAACCACCTCTCTACTCTCTCGGAGTAGGGGTAAGGTCTGCGTACACACTACCTTCCCTAGACGCCACTAGTGGAATTTTACCGGGTCGTCGTCGTTGTTGTTGTCATCGTTGTCGTCTTTGATGCTATAAATGCATTTTTATCAAATACGACCATATTGACTTATCTCTAATCTCTATATTAGAACGAATTAGAATGACCCTTTCTTGATATTTTATAAGTTGTAACTGCAACCTTTGGCGCCCTTAAGTAGCCTGAATTGCCACATTGTACGCATCATTAGCAAAAAGTTTGCTTCTGAGTTCTGGATAAATAAGCTAAGATTAGACCTAATTTGGCCATATTCACCAGTTAGTTTTGAAATTGAGACAGATCAGTTTAAAATATAATTGTGTCATACATGGCTTATGTGTACACACTGTATATAGCACATGTACCCAAAGGAAGACCCATGATGTTAACGCGAAAGGGCACAATATTCTACTCAACCAGTGCTCCATAAGGCTTTTAGTGTTCAAGGTTCCAATTAATTTAAATTAACCATTTTTAAGGTATATAAATATACATATACAGAATTCCTGCCAAAGTTTACGGGTCCACTTGTACCCCATATAATATGCGGAATTTTGTGTTGTGACAGAAATACGACAGTATTGTCAATCAACAAGGTCAAACATAATGTGTTTTTGTAGCGATTTGGGGAAAATACGTAAAAAAAAAAAATTATGAATCTATATATGAGCAGAGACAAACACAAATCGAAGTTATACTAATCCTCTCACCAAATTCCAGTTCCTTAAAATAACATTATGATATTTAACTGTCCCTCAAAAAATCAATATGTACTGCTGTTGGTGGTCGAAGCTGGAGCAACTTCCTAGCTATATCCAATGCTTCTACGGCTTCAAGTTCCGGGGTGCTCCATGACGCTCATAGTCACAAGTGATGGCGAACTAAAGAGAAGGAACCGAATAAACTCAATTTCAGGATCCAAACCTGAGATTTTCGTTAATTTGACCAGATGAAGTTTGCTGAGCGGAAAAGTGGTGCAGTCCATGAGTTTTAGATAACCTGAGACTTGCTCTTGGT